TTTGGCGTGGATGTTAAGTTCAAGATGCCAGGAGACCCCGGAGCGGACAGGCTGAGTGGCTTGCTTCTGGGCAGAAGTCTGGAGCTCAGGAGGGCTGGCGACATCGCTGTAGAGATGGTCTTAAAAGCCACAAAACCAGTGAGATGGCCCAGGGAGGCACAGGGCCAGACGAGGTCAGAGTCCCGAGCCTGGGAGCGTTTGGAGGTCCTGAAGATAGGATTTGAGTAGAGTCTGACCTCAGAGCCCCTGCCCTCGGCTCTGATCTGGAGTGAAACACAGGCCTGGAGTCCACCGCGCTCCTGTGGGCTCTGTGCCCTCCTTGACCCAGGGGCACTGCCCGGTCAGAAATGGGGGCGAGGCCCTCATCCCACTTTATGCGCGTGGAGTCACCTGCGGGCCAGCCCTGCCGTGCAGGTGCAGGTGCAGGTGCAGGTCTGTACGTCCGGCCGCCTGTTGTTTGCTGCTTGAGGACAGGGACCTGGGACTCTCTTTGGCTCCTTGGTCCCCAGCAGCGCAGCAGGTGTGGGTGGCCTGTGTGTTGAGTGGCGGAAAGGATGAGCGACGGTTTCTGTGAGCTGGTGGAGGTGAGCTTGACCCCTGGAGCTAGGGAGGGTGAGTCAGAGTCACAGAGGGGCTGGACGCCAGTCTGCGTGCGAGTCCTCCAATGGTGGGACCTGGTCTCACTGTGCCCCAGGCCACTCAGGGACCTTAAGTGCTGCTGGGGTGGCCACTTGGGCTACCCGGGCATTTGAGGATGAGGCAGTCCTGCCTCTGCCTGGCTCTCCTCGAGGCTTTAGGTCAGCTCGCTGAGTGGCCGGGAGCAATCCTGGGCCTGCCTTTGGCTCCCTGAGATGCTTGGGGTGGAGGGGAGCTGGGGAGGTGGGTCCCACCTGTGCCTGCTCCCCTCCCACTTCCAACTGCAGGCTTCCCCTTGAGGCGCCCTCCCTGTAAGCCCCCGCTCCTTCTGGCCTCTCTGCCTGCGCCTGGGCCATTTCTGCAGCCTGGACCATCCGTCCTGCCCTTGCAGCAGCTCTGTCAGATTGCATGGAGTCATTTCCTGGTCCCACCTCATCCTTCCCGGGGGACTTTGGGCAAGTCGCTCCGCCCACCTGAGCCTCAGCTTCCCTGTCTATGGAATGGAGGGAACACACCCAGCTCTTGGGTTTGGTTCCAGCATGAAAATACTAGAGCCGTGCTGTACGGAAATTGCTGAGAGGTGGGCTTCAGATGGGGAAACTGAGGCTCAGAAAGGTGAGGCGTGTCACAAAGTCAGTGCAGTCCCCTTCCAGCCTCCAGGTGTGTGTGCCATGGGGCCCCATCACAGTGGCCACTCAGGATGTGGCCGAGGATCTGGGACCCTCCGGAGATGAGGGCGGGCAGCTCAACCAATAGTAGGAGGGTGTCACCGGGCCCTTCAGCTTCCTGACTCCCCTTGCCTGGCTGGGTCGCTGGGGACAAAGGGGTTAATGTGCCTGGGGGCTGTGACGAGGAGGAGGAGGAGAAAGAGGAGGGGCTGGGGTCCAGTCTGGCAGCAGCCCCCTTCACAGGAGTCCAGCAGCTTCTCCAGGCTGGCTCTGGTTTCCCAGGCAACAGCCCCCAGGGGTCCCCTCTGCCCAGAGGCCTCCTCCTGGGGGCTGCTCCCCACCTGTCCTGCCTGGGCGTCATTGACCCAGGGGCACCCCTGGGAGGTCGAAGGGGAAGGGGAGGTGGGCAGGGGACGCCAACTCTGGGCCCTGGACAGAGCCTCCATTGTCTGAGGCTTCAGCCACGGCCCCGCAGCCAGCAGGGTGCGCCTCTCAGAGCCTCTCTCCCCCTTCCCGCCTTAGGAAGCCCATTGAATGGTCTGGCGCCCACCAGGCGAGGGAAGGAGCTGGCCCTGTCGTCCCTCTTGTGTTCGGAGGCTCCTGCCCTGGGCTGGGGAGGGCCTGGGAGAGTGCCCCCCCACTCACCCCTGCGCTCACGCCACTTGCTTACTCAGCACCTGCTCTGTGCTGGGGTCCCCTGAGGACCAGCCGGAGCCTCCTGCCCTGGCTTCCCGGCTCGCAGCCCGGTGACTCCCCGTGCAGGAGCTGGGCAGCCTTGGGAATGTCCCTCAGTCTCTCAGCCTGGTTTTCCTCATCTGCTATGGGAATTAAATTAACAAAAACTGAAAAATGTTCAGCACAGGGCCTGGTGCATGGCAGTGTCAGGAGACGTCAGCTATTATCATTTCGAAGATGATAATTTTGTGATCTCAAGGGAGACAAGGGTCACAAAGGTCAGGGCTGGTATTCTGATGGATGGTCGGCCTGCACTCAGTTGAGAGTCTGCACAATGGCATAGCCGTCTTCCTCCAGGAGCGGCAGGAGCTCTGGGAAGGGAACGAACCTTTGTTAAGAACCTACCAGCATCGTCAGACGTCGTTTCATTTACATCCGCATCTGATGGACAGGACAGGAGGCAGGGAGAGGTTGAACGCCTGCCCGGCGTCTCACCACTGGGGATTCGGTGTCTGAGCTGGATCTCTCGGACCCCAGCCTCAGCCCTTGCCACGCATCTCCCATCTCTCTGTCCGGGGCTCTGAGTTCTGGTCGTGTTCCTCCTGCTGTGGCTCCACCGATGTTTTCTGGGAGCCATCTCCCTCCAGTCTCCAGCAGGCGGCCATGAGGGCCTCCGAGGGCAGAGCTGGGGGCGTCCGGCGCCCTGCACACAGTAGCTGCGGGTCCCTCTTCCTGGTCGGGCCCACTGTCCAGCTTGCATCCCCTCTGCTTCCTCCCCGCTCTGGTTTTCCTGGACAGGGCAGGGAACACCTGGGAGGGCAGAGGTCCCCACTGGGGCCCGTGGCCCTCCGTCCTTCAGGCAGGAAGCCCCAGGCCCGGGGACGCCCAGCCTCACGGGTTCCACGGTGAGCAGATCCCAAGCAGATGAAGGTTCTCAGCTTCTGGGTTTAGTTCAGTTCAGCAGCTGTTGTCTGGTGTGTGGGCCAGTGCTCCAGACACTGGGATGAGAAGAGGCCACAGTCTAGCGAGGGGACAGTTATCACAGGGGCCATACGTGTCCCAGAATCACCTGAGCTCTTTGAAAACAGAGTTTTCAAACTCTGCTACTGAACCAGAATTGGGGGCTGGGACACTTTTTTTTATTTTTTTTTATTTTTTAAAGATTTTATTTTTCCTTTTTCTCCCCAAAGCCCCCCAGTACATAGTTGTATATTCTTCGTTGTGGGTCCTTCTAGTTGTGGCATGTGGGATGCTGCCTCAGCGTGGTTTGATGAGCAGTGCCATGTCCGCGTCCAGGATTCGAACCAATGAAACACTGGGCCGCCTGCAGCGGAGCGCGTGAACTTAACCACTCGGCCACGGGGCCAGCTTCGCAACCAGGCTTGGGGACCACTGCGTGAGATGGATCTGGGGAGGCCTCACGGAGGAGAAACCGGGCCTGGGTTTTGAAGGTTGAGAAGGAGTTTGCTTGCTGGTTGTGTGAGAGAATTCTGCTTGGACAGAACAGACAGCCTGAGCAAAAGGTCCAGAGATGTAAAAGAGGTCGTCAAGGTCATGGGCCTGAGAGCCGGGCACGGCAGGGCTGGGACTGGAGGTCAGAGGGGAGGAGGGGAGTGTCGTGGAGGGCCTTGCTGAGGACCTGGACTTCCTTCTGAAGGCGAGGAGGGAGAGTCCGGGGGTGTGTGTCGTGGAGCGGTCACTGTGGCAGCAGAGATGGGGTCGGGTCGGCCAAGCGCACATTGGCCAGGGCTGGGAGCCAGAGACCTCTGGGAGGGTGCACCCCCTCGTGGAGGAGCTCCGGTCCTGACCAGCGCAAGCCCTGGGCCTGCTCCCCTGTCCTGTGCTTTTTCCCTGGCTTCCAGGAATCAGACACGGGTGCCTCTGAGGCCTGGTTTGGGATGGGTGCCTGGGCCCGAACCTGTTCCTTGTCTCCCCTATGTGAGGCTGGGTGGCAGCCAGCCTTCTAGTGAGGCTGCCCGGCTTGGATGTGCCAGCATCTGCTGCTTTCCCAGCTTCCGGGACTGACTTCTTGCCTGCCTGGACCCCCACCGCTCTCCCCGGCCCCACCAGCCTCTCCCCAGAGGCCGGCCTCCCCGCTCCTCCGACACCCCCCAGGTGTGTTTCTCCAGGCCGTGCTCAGGAAGAGGGACTGGGGTGGGGGATGGCTCAGGATGGGGGAGTTTCACAGGCTAGGGAGGAGAGGGAGGGAGTGGGGCCGGAGCAGGCTGGGGAGCATTTCCTACTGGGCCTCTAGGCTGGTGGACTTTGAACCCCAGAGGGAGGAAGAACTGATAAGTGCTTGCTTTCTTAAATTAGAGCCAAGAAGACCCCTGCTGTGGTGAGCAGGGCTGCGAGGGTGGAGGGAGGTGCTGATGCTGGGTGGTCAGGGTCACTGAGCTTATCCTCTGGGGCACACCCTCAGCCCCAACCTGGGGGCTTGCTCCTCTGCGTCTCGCCCTGTCAGCGTGGTTGAAAAGCTTCCTGCAAGTCGCTCTGCAGGGTGTGGCTGGAAAGAGCACGGTTCAGTTCAGGGGCTGCCTGCCCAGCCGGTCTTGGCTGTCCTTTTTAAAGATTTTATTTTAGGGGCCGGCTCAGTGGCGCAGCAGTTAAGTTCGCACGTTCCGCCTCTCGGAGGCCTGGGGTTTGCCGGTTCGGACCCTGGGTTCGGAACATGGCACCGCTTGGCAAAAAGCTATGCTGTGGCAGGCGTCCCACATATAAAGTAGAGGAAGATGGGCACAGATGTTAGCTCAGGGCCAGGCTTCCTCAGCAAAAAGAGGAGGATTGGCAGCAGTTAGCTCAGGGCTAATCTTCCTCAAAAAAAAAAAAAAATCATAATAAAAAATAAATTTAAAAAAAGGAAAAAAAAAGATTTTATTTTATTTTATTTTCCTTTTTCTATCCGAAGGCCCCTGGTACATAGTTGTATGTTCTTGGTTGTGGGTCCTTCTAGTTGTGGCATGTGGGACGCCGCCTCAGCGTGGCCTGATGAGCAGTACCATGTCCGCGCCCAGGATCCGAACTGGCGAAACCCTTGGCTGCCGAAGCAGAGTGCGAGAACTTAACTACTTGGCCACGGGGCCAGCCCCTTGGCTGTCGTTTTTAAAGAGATGACCCCTAGGAGAAGAAAATCTCTTATAGCCCTGCCACCCAAGCACAGCACTGTTAATGTCACAATGACGACAGAGCTCCTGTTCCCGAGCGCTCACTCTGTGCGGAATACCTCGCACACGGCACTCCGCCCTCGTTGCATCGGCACAGAGCCCTGCGCACAGACAATTGTGAGAAACGGGTTAGTGAACTGCCGGCGCGTGGCCGAGCTGGGATTTGAACTCAGATCTAGCACCGGATCGCGTCCTTTTAACCACGGCCGTCGCGATTCCACCTCTCCAGTACCGTGGTGCTGCGGGCAAGTCCCTCCCTCCTCTGGACTCAGTTTCCACATCCGTGAAACCAGAGCTACACTGTCTTGTAGCTGCTTTCTGGTTCCGACACGCTGTGATGCTTTTGGGATAGTCTTCTTTCTAGAAAGGAGGCTGCTTATTTTCATTCCTCTCATCATAATGCTCACTGTAGAAGATCTGGAGAATTCGGAAAAACAGAAAGAAGGTACAGAGAAAATCTGTGACCCTGCTCCTGGAGCAGACACTGTTAACATCTCAGTGAGGCTCCTTCCTGTCCTCCTCGTCCGCGTGCTTTCAAACACAGCGGGATGCCCGTGGTTCTGTCCTCCCTGGGCCACTGCTGGCTTCCGTCCCTCTCTTTCACCAGCTGGACGGCCTCTTTCGCCACCGTCCCGGCAGGAAGGTTCTGAATTGCTTTTCAGAGAGAGGTTCCTTTCAGGGGCGTTGCAACACACTTCTTTTGGCTCAGACTCCCACCTTGGAAGCTTCTCCACCACGCCTAGCTCAAGGAGACTTAAAAATCAAAATAAGAAAGGAAACAGCTGAATGACTTCTCCTGTCTGCTCAGCGCTTTCGCACCCGTGCCCCGGCTCCGTGCGTGTGGCGGCCTGTGGGACCGACTGGGCAGGGGCGGGATGCCCACTGTGCCCGGATGGAGGGCGGGTGCAGAGAGGCCTGAGCTCACACGGGGAGGATGGAGAGGATGGGGCAGAGCCCAGCCAGCAGGTGGACCCGCTGCCCAGCCCGCTGCCCCCAGGTCCCCACAGCTCGAAGCTTTAGGCTCTCGGGGTCCCCCCGTGAACCTCCCTCAGGGCTTACACTCCTGGGGTGCAGAGTCCAGACAGAGGGTCCTATTTGCTGTCCTGCATTGTGGTGACCAGTGCTGCCTGGGGCTTTGCGGTTGGCCTCAGGTGTGCTGCTGGGAGCCCCGGGGGCCGGGTTGTGGGACCTCCACTTTACAGACGAGGACACTGAGGCTCGCCTGCCAGTGGATCTGAGATTCCCACCTGGGTCCCCAACTCCCAAGGCGGAGCTGTGGTCCTCACAGCTGTGCTACGAGTGTAATGACAGTCATAGACCAGTGTGTCCCAGGGACCCTTCCGTGAGCTTTACACGTGTTCACTCTTAATTTTCTTAATAACGCTGTGAGGTGGGTACTTTTTAATCCTTGTTTTGCAGATGAGTAAACTGAGGCCTGGAGCTGGCGTTAAGCAGCTACTCAGTTGTCAAGGTGTCATAGCCCCTGAGTGCGGGGACCCTGGTGGTGTCAGGTCCCTTGAACTCTTTCCTGACTATTGGGCCACCAGGGCCTCTGGCGGTGGCAGTGGGCTGCTCTGAGCCATCCCTGCTTCCTCACCCACATCCTTCTGAGACTAGGGACGTGTTTGTGGAAAATCGTGGCCACAGGCCCATGAGTGAGCACGGGGCTCACGGGTCTGTGTCTGTGCTTGGGGACCTCCCAGCCCCAGGTTAACTTGTGGCAGGTGCCCCCAGATTCCAGCCCCGAAGTCCAGGGAGGCAGTGATTAAAAGGAGTGAGACCGTGTTTGGGGTCAGTGCCCCTCATAGAATCCTACTGTTGTCACCTTGTTCCCTTGTCTCTGTGACCTTGGGCAAATCCTCACTTCTCTGAGCCTTGGTTTCCTGTCTGTAAATGGAACGATGCACATATGGCTTCGAGCTCCGATTGTGTTGGTGTCTCCCTTCCTTCCTAGGGACAGCCCTGGGCTTGGGGCGGAGGGCGGGAGTCGGCCCTGAAGGGTGCGGAAGAAGGGCAGGACACCTGACTTTCTGGCTTGGAGAGAAGTCTCCTGGGTTTCCGCATTATCAGAAAGTTGTGTTTAAGGAGCAGTTTGCACATGAGCCTGGGCTGGTGCCTCCTTTTTCTTTCTGTAAAATGGCTCTGAGTCCCCGGCTCCCTCCAGAGTGGTTCCGAACGGGCGCACGGGGCTGGGGAGCTGCTGGAGGATGCCGCGCACTCTCGTTTGAGCTCTCCACTCGCAGGGGTTCCGCGGACATTTTCGTTTGCTTTTCCAAGCCCTTTGCTGAAGATAACATTTCAGTCCTGAGAGTTTTCAGTGTGGGGCTAAAAGGCACTGTCACACGCGTAGTGGAGAGCAGTGTGCCTCTGTCAGAAGGGAAATGCAGTTCTGTTCTCTGACCCAGCAGATCCGTCTCTAGGAACGCGCCCTGCAGGTTCACGCGTCCGTTCGCCGGAGGCCCTGTGTGTGCAGGACAGTGGTCCCTGCCTTGTTTATACCACCAAAAGCCTGGAGAATCCTCAGCGTCCTTTGGCAGGGATTACGTCAATCATGGCGTATCCCCCCAAAATACCTGCAGCAGGTGGAAAACTGAGACTGATGCCCATGTTCTGAAATGTCGCCGAGGTTCTTAAGCAAAAAACGTAGCCGCAGCACAGTGTGCTTCCTCCTGCATAAAATGAGGCACATATCCAGGTGCGAGCTGGTGATACCTGGGATAGTTCTGGAAGGATCTTAAGGAACCAGGAACAGTGGTCACTTCCAGGGGATCAGAGCAACTGGGGTGGGAGGGAGACTTCCTTTTCATTGTACCCCCTTTGTCTTGTTTGGGTTTGGGGAGGCACTAGACATGGTGGTTGCTTAATGAGCACAGACTCTGGGGCCCATGGCCTGGGTTCAAACCCTGGCTCTGCCACTTCCTAGCTGTGTGATCTTGGGCAACTTACTTTAACCACTCTCGGCCTCATTCTCTCATTTATAATTTGGATTAATATATGTTAATATTATTTGTAGGGGCCGACCCTGTGGGTGAGCGGTTAGGTTTGCATACTCCGCTTCCGGCCCCGGGTTTTGCCAGTTTGGATCCTGGGCGTGGACATGGCACCGTTCATCAAGCCATGCTGAGGCGGCATCCCACATAGCAGAGGCAGAACGACCTACAGCTAGAATACACAACTCTGTACTGGGGGGCTTTGGGGAGAAGAAGGGAAAAAAAGATTGGCAACAGATGTTAGCTCAGGTGCTAATACTTAAGAAAAAAATTATCGCTAAAGTGCTTAGAATAATGTCTGTAGGCATGTAGTAGGCACTAAGTGAATATTTGCTGTTAACAATTAATTGCTATTTACATGCATTCCATTTTTGTTTAGGAAGCCAGTTAATAAAAGTAAAGGTGGGCCGGTCTGGTGGCGCAGTGGTTAAGTGCGCACTTTCTACTTCAGTGGCCTGGGGTTCACCAGTTCGGATCCCTGCAGCCCTTTCATTCCTTCCACCCGTGTGCCATGGCCCGGCGGCCCCTTGCCAGCTGGCCACCCCCATGGGGCAGGATGGGGAGAGACAAAGAGAGAGTGAATGGCCTTCAGCGAGGCCGCAGGCGGGGCCTGGTGAGAGCGGCCGGACTCGAGGGAGCCGTGGTTACTGGGCAGCCAAAGGAGGAAGTGTCCGGCCATGACGGTTCAGGCGTGATCCAGCTTCTGGAACCTGGGGGCCTGAGTGTGATCCTGGCCTGGAGGGGGCTGGAGCCTCACCTGTAAGCCAGAGGGGACGACGGGGGTAGTCTAGCTGGACCCACCAGGCTCCCGAGGGTCCCTTAGCTTGGGGCTTTTGCTTCCTTTTGGAAGATCTGAGGCTGCGGGGCTTTCTGGGAAGATGGGGTTATGGTCCCGCAGCTTCTGGTTTTCTGGGTTAATGATTCATGATGAGTGGGGGCTGGGCCCTTTCCGGGGCTGTCCTGTGCTCCCAGAGCTGCTGAGAAAGGAGTGTGAGAGCCGGCAGGCGGGAACGCACAGGTCGTGAGCTGGTGACCACCCTTCTCTGTTGCCAAAACATCAGCCTTGAATGCCGTTCGATTCGATCTCTGGCTTCTTTTCACAGGCGAGCGGCTGGGACGGCGCTGGTCTGAGCTCGACCTTGTCTGATGGCTTCCTCCAACCCTCCTGCACAGGCTGCCAGAGGTACGGTACCCCAGGCTTCCTGCTGTCCCTCCTCCAAATGGGCCACTGGCTCTGGAGCAGGCCGACCCTTGTGAATCCTGGCTGCGCTGGCCGCTAGCTGTGTGCCCTTGGGCAAGTGACTTCACCTCTCTGCCTCTGTTTCCTCATCTGCAAGGTGGAAATGGTAATTTCCTCCTCACAGAGTAGGCTCCAGACGGGGCTTGATTCTTTGCCTGTCTCCCAGAGATCCCCAGAGAGAGGGGCAGAGCCCATCTGGGGATTGCACTGTGCTGGGGGGTGAAGCTTATGAATTGGGGGTGGGGCCCTGACGGTTGAGGGGAAGGGGCTGGGCTGTCCATCTCCATCTGTTAAGGTACAAGGTCAGGTCGACTAGCAGTGGTAAGGTGGCCAGAAACGGCAAAAAAAACAAAAAGCGAAAAAAAGAAGAAAGATACCTACTTATGCTAAAAAAGCGATGTCATTTATCTGAAATTCAATGCGATGTTCTGTATTTTGTCTGGCAAGCCTAGCAGTGGGGCCTTGCAGGTGGAATCCAGGCCCCACCCTGGAGGAGCCGGACCCCTGCCGTTTCACCCACTGGGCCCAGCTTCCTGTCCTCTCGTCCCCCCTTGGGGGAGGCAGATAGCAGAGTGGTCACGAGCCAGGGCTTTTTCACCAGCCTGATGCTGCCACTGACACTGGGAGCTTAGCTGAGTAACTTGGTGTCTCTATGGCTCAGTTTCGTCACCCATAAACACAGGGTAGTAATGACACCCTCTCCCCTGTTGTCGCAAGGTTTAAATATATGTAATGCCCGGTGTGTGGTAATCAATCGCTCAATGAATGGGAGCTGTGATCACTGTGGGGTGTCGGCAGGACAGGCTGTGTGTGCTCTGCTCTGAGCCCCGGGCAGAATCCAGGGAGTCGTGTCTTCCTCCGGGTTCTTCTCCAAAGGGTGGGGGGCCGGCATAGTGGGCCTGCCTTCTCCACCATGCTGGGTGGCCTCCCAGGTCCCCTGCCTCCTGGACTTGCTGGGGCTGGCTCTCCCAAGGATGGGGCGTGTCCAGGAACGTCAAAGGCGTGTGTGGCCAGCTGCAGTGGTGCCACCTGCACAGATGGGTGGGACGGGTGCAGTTCAGCTCTCAATTATCCAGGGAGGGGCCTCCCGATTTTTCCTTCTGATAAGGATAGATGTTTGACTGCCTGCGTCTCTGGAGCCTGGGAACAGAGCCTTGGGGACGAGCGCGTCTCCTGATTCATGACCGTGACTTTGGGGCCCAGAATGCCCCCCCGCTCTGGCCCCTGCTGCTGTGAGCACCCTGCACCCTTTCTCCCCCCCCACCAAGAGGGCCAGACATGGAGAGTGAGAACAAAATCGTTTTGTGATTAAATGGATTCAGTTCCATTCAGCAAACATGCGATGAGCATGTATTTTTCCAGCTGTGTCTGATATTGCCGCCTCGTATCATCTGGTCCAACCAGGCCCTTTGCCATTTTCCGATCCTTTGAGAGCTTCTCCTGGTCTTACCAAATGAAATTCACATTCCCCCAAACACCTCTTCAGCCACCTTAGAGCTCCCTTCATCCTTACTCCCGCCTTCAGCTCCGCTGGGTCGCTTGCTGTTCGTTCTCTGCACCTGCTGTGGCATTTAGCCTGGAACGCGGCCCCATGCGAGCCCGTCAGACGTTTGCTCATCCTTCAAGGCTCTGTGCAGGGCAGCCTTGTGCCTGAAGCCGCACGCAGTGTTGCGGCGGGCTGAGCCCCCTTGTCTCTTCCGGCACCGGCTCAGTCTCTGGGGTTTTAGGTTTTCCTCCTCCCCTATCTGCCTGCCTCACCACGCGTTGAGCTCCTTCCTGTTAAGGGGCCATATCTGACTTCTCCTGGACCCCCTGGCGCAGGGGCTGCTGGGGACAGTCCCTGGGATGCGGGCATGGCTTTGTTGATGGATGTGCTCGCTGGAGCCACCGTCCTCTTAAAGGGACAAGGTGCAGAGGTGACCCGAGTCCCTGGACACAGCCTGTGGGCCGGGTGGCCTGTGAGTGGGGAAGGCCTGCCCACCTCACCCAGAGTCAGGGGCTGGCCTGAGACTCAGGACAATCATCATAATAATAGTGATGATGATGATGATGCAACGATGATGATGATAAGCAGAGTCATCATCGCAAGAATAGCTGCCCTTTAGTGAGCCTCCCCCTGGCCCCAGGTTTATGGGTGTTGATTCATTCCGTCCTCCCAACAACCCTGTAAGGTGGGTACTATTATTGTCCTCATTTTACAGATCAGGACACTGCAGCTCGGAGGGGTGGATGAGCTTGACGCTCACACAGCCGGACTATGGGAGAGCTGGAGTCGGGACCCAGGTGGTCTGACTGAAACTGTAGTCACTACAATGGTGCCAGCCAGGTGCAAAGGGAAACCCTCCCCCATCACCTGCCCCGCAGATTCCAGAGGGCAGGGACCAAGGCACTGAAGCCCCCCTTGGTCAGGATGGGCCAGTTTTGGTGGTGGCAGCCTCACAGGGAGATGACATATAGTAAAGACTGGAAGAAGGTGACAGCAGGAGAAGATACCTGAGGAAGAACATTCCGGGTCCAGAGATTGAAGGTGCAAAGGTCCTGAGGCAGCAGCACGTCTGGTCCATCCATGATACAGCAAGGAGACCCATGTGGCTGGACTGGAGGGAGTGAGGAGAGAGCAGTAGGTGATCCTACACACACATTATGTATCCATAACTGAAACAGGTGTCAAAAACCATGTCAAAAGTAGTACCAAATGTGATTTCATTAATATTTTAATACAATAAGTTAAAATGTCTCAAATAAGCAATTCATAACAAAAGAAAATGCCGCCTGGGAATCCCCTAATTGATTTCATGACCCGCCAGTGGGCTGAGAACTGTGATTTGAAAACCGCTGATCTGGCTTCCGACTCAGGGAGCCCCTGGGTTCCTTGTTGGTTCACCCCCACGGGGCCAGGGGTCCAAGGGCTCACGCGACTGGAAGGGGAGCTGAGACAGATCTGGGTTCAAGTCCGGCTCCCCACTTCTTAGCGGTGTGACTGTGGGCGTATCACCTGACCTCTGGAAGCCTCGGTGGCCTCGCTGTATAAAATAGGGAGTTGTGAGGCTGGAAGTGGCAGCCGCGTGGGGCACATTTCAGAATTGGCTTCTCTGCACCCAGAGAAGGAGCCTGTGCACAGGCCACAGCTCTGCCCAGAGTCCACCGCTGCCGACGCCGGCCCCCGGGTCCCCAGAGCTCCCAGGAGGGGGGCTGGCCCCCACCTCACTGGCCCCGTGTGGTCACCATCCTCAGAGGAAGCTGGGGGAAGGGGTTTCTTGAATTTGATACATTTGTACCTAAAATGTTCTGCTCCGGAACCCCCCAGGTCCCTGTGGGGGAGGGGTTGGATTCTTCTGGGCACAGAGACTGCTGGAATCGGCTGTGTCCATCTCTCCGTCTGCTGGTCCTTCCCTCCATCTCTCTGCTCCGTCCACCCCCCCACTCACTCATCCACCCACCTGAGAGCGCCTGCTGGGGCTGGGTCCGCGTGGACGAGGCGGCCCTGTGCTCGAGCATCTCAGGCCGGGAGGGGCAGGAATGACAGCAGCAGGTGTTCTCGGGTCACCCTTACACGTGCCAGGCCCTGCGCCAGGTGCTATAGCTACCCCGGCCGTTCTCAACTGGGGACGATTGTGTCCCCCAGGGGACATCTGGCAAAGTCTGGAGACATTTCTGCACAGCTGCAAGGTGCTACTGGCGTCTAGTGGGCAGAGGCCAGGAGTGCAGCTTCACATCCTGCGGTGCCCCCACAACAAAGACCACGTGCCCCCATGTCAACAGCGGTGAGCTGAGAAACCCTGACCCACATCTCAGTTTACACTCGCATTAGCTTATGGGGTAGGTGCTGTCTTTATTCTCCAGTTTACAGAGGAAGAAACCAAGGTTCAGAGAGGTGAAGTGACTTGCGCAGAACCACACAGCTGGTAGGCGGCCCAGACAGGACGGGCTGAGCCCAGAGCTCATGCTCTGCACCGTATGGCATGAGCCATGACAGGATGGCCCGGGCCAGCCAAGGAGGGCTGGTCAGCCTCACAGACTGTTAAAACCAGACCACACTGCCCTTTGGTTTTGGAGCCAGTTTGTGGGAAGGGGGACCGGCTTAGCGGACTTGAGGTTCTGTTCAGGCTCAGATTCTAGGAGAGATGCTCTTTAGAATAGATAAGCCATCTCTTCAGCCATTTAACGAGCCTAGTTCCTACGCTGGGCCAGGCTGGGACCTGTCCCCTTAAAGGGAACAGTAGGAGGGCCTGCTCTTAGGGATCCGAGATTGGTAGGGGGAGCCCAAAGCATCCTTACACATTCTAGGAACAGATGAAGAAACAAAGGGCAAAGACAGGGAAGGGGGCCAGGACCGCCTTCACTTAGGGTGGTGGGGGCACTCCCTGCTAGAGCTGAGCTTTGAGGGGCGACAGGAGGACGTGGCCATGAAGGGGATCTCCCAGGTAGGAGAAGCAGGGTGTGAGGCCCGGCCGGGCAGACCTCCACGCTGGGAGCACGGCCCTCTACCTCTACCCCTGGCCAGTCAGTGCCCTGGAGCCTGAAAGCTGGCTTCCTTCAGGCTCCAGACTCTTCTAGGCAGCTGTGTTTCACACCGCCACGCAGACCAAATAAAGTGCAGCATGCAGAACGAGCCTGTATGTGCCCATTCCTACATCCGCAAAACGCACAGACACGCATGCACACGGAAACACGCAGGAAGGTGTGTGCCCACGTGCACATGCGCAGATGCATTGAAAAAGCCCCTTCTCTTACAAAATAGCAAAATAGAAAACAAGAATATGAAAGACCTACAGTCAAGTTCAGGTGTGTGTATGCTTACCATGGAGGCTTTCTCCCTCCCCTCTGTCCACTGCCTGTCTGCTCAGACCCCCAACCCAAACACAGAACCCAGCAGAGGCACAGGAGGGCCACTTGGCCTGGGCACGGGTTTAATCTAGTTTCTGGGAACTGCCCTTGGGCCCTCACTCAGACCTGAGCTGCTCGCATAACCTCCCTTGACCAAACCCCGAAGAGGAGACCCTGCAGCCGGCTAATGCCTCCCTCCCTTCCAGGAGATCAGCTGGTTCCCGGAGGCCCAGGCACCTCCCCCGAGGCGGAGGACGACCCTGGAGAGGCCTTTGAGTTTGACGACAGTGACGATGACGAGGACACCAGCGCTGGCCAGGGTGTCCTAGGGGTTGCTCCAGAGAAGGATGGAGCCGCCCCACTGATCCACTTGGACTCCGCCCCTGTCACTGGTAAGGTGTTCTGGGAGCCTCGGGTGCTCCCATTTCCGGGCCTCTGGGGCTACGGCGAGTTTAGGGCTGGGTGGAAGCTCCAGGCCCCCAGTGATGCCTGTGGCCGCTCCGCTGTCCCCAGAAAGCAGGAAGGGAAAAACCGCTGGGAAGAAGCTGCATTCCATTGCTTCCCCTGGGAACCGGAGATTCCTAGCGTTCCTGTAGCATGTGGCCCACTTGGGCCCATCGTAAATGGAAGTGGCCTGGCTTGTGCTTTGGACCCAGTTGTGCCCAGGGCTCGTGTCTGTGCAGCACCCCCACCTCCCTGCAGCTTCTCCCAGGCAATCACCCCAGCCAGAGGAGCAGGCTCCCAGAGCTGCCCCCTCCCGTCGGCCATGGGGAGCCGGCGGCCTTGGGGGCGGAAGGGCCCTGATAAGGCTGGTGTTAAATGGCAGCTTCTGGACTCTTGATTCTGTCATCTGGGAGAGACTCGGGACTGGATTAGCAGGAACTTCCCGCAGGCTTGGGGACAAGGGGTTCCTTGAGGAGCTGGGGGGCGGGGGGCGGGCGCAGGCCCGGAGCAGGCAGGGCGGCTGGTTCCGGTCGGACTTAGGATGTGGGCCGTGGGGGTGGGGTGAGGTGGTGCAGGCAGGACAGGTAGGAGCTTAATGACAGTGCAGTGGCTGGGGGAAGGGAGGCAGGCACCCAGCAGGCACCCAGGCCGCCAGGCCCTGTCTCTGCCCCCCAGGGAGGCTGGGAAAGGGGGCGGGGATGGGCTGAGTCTATCTGGCCAGCCTCTGGCCTGACGGGCTCTCCCTCTCCTCTTCTCCTGCAGACCCAGACCCAGCGGCTGCACCGCCCCAGACACAGTAAGTGAGCCTCGTTCCTTTGCTTTGGCGGCAGGAAAAAGAGGGTCCCCTGGGCGGGAGGTGTGGGAGGGGGCGCTGCGGCCCGCAGGGCCCCGCACAGGCCTTTGCCTAAGGAGGACACAGTTCCAGATCCCTGGCCCAGAGGAAAGAGGTCACTGCCTAAACTCATGCTACCCCTTCCTTTATTTTGCCCACAAGCCTGTGAAACAGCAGAATGCAGGCCTGGCTCCACAGCCTGGCTGTGCCCCTTGTTAGCTGTGTAGCTTGAAGGAGTCACATAAACTCCCAAGTGTCAGTCTGTTCTTGTGCAAAATGGAAACAATGCAGTTTCCACCCCACTGGGTTGCGCCCCTGGTGCTTGTCTCTGCCTTCACTGTTTGTTTTGCCAACACCTCCATCCCCTGTGACTGTCGTTGGAGACTCTGCCCTTCTCTACCTGGGAGCCTGTGTGATCAGGGCGCCTAGTGGCTAAACGCCTGGATGCTGGCATGCCTGCCTCGGCCTCCAGCCCCAGCCCCGGCCGTGGGTCCCTGTGTGTCACAGTTCTCTGGGCTTTGGTTTCTCATCTGTAAAATGGGCCACTGCCTCCTCCCCAGAAGAACAAAGAACCAGCCTTGCTTGATCAAGGCACTTGCTTTTAGCATGTTCTCTGTGGTCCTGGGTGGTCGGCTCGGGGTGGAGTGTGTGTTGGGTGTGGAGGCTGTGAGAGCTGAGGCCTCTGGGAGCTTTGTTCCCTGCTGCTCGCCGCCTGGCTTTGGGGACCTGGGTGCTCAGAGAGTCTTCTTCTAAGGGAAGTGTTAGTGGTGGATCTAGGTCCTGGGGTTTATGGCCAGGGACCCCGGGGTGGGGGGAGTGGTATTTGAGGCTCCCAGTGCCTTCTTGGTGTGCGCTGAGCCAGGGGGCTAATTCTCAGGCAGGTGTGGCCCAGCTGGAGGTCTCAGAGATGTAGATTGTGGCCGGGCCACCTGGAGCCAGCAGATGGCAGTCCTGGATTCAAATCCAATGCCAGGAGTCCTGATATGTGCTCATTTGCCATCTGGAGTGGGCCGACCCTGCCACTGTGTAATTAAGGCCAGGAGTAGGGGCCCGTGGCCTCTCCTCCCTGATTAGCACCTGATGTGAGTCACAGCCCTGCCCCTGGGCTGGGGAGTTCTGAGATGGCTGTGATCTCCCAGCGATTCTAGCCCTCCGGGGTGGGCCAGGAAGGAAGCTGCCAGAAACTCAGTCTGGACAAGTGGACAGCAAAGGAACCCCAGGGAACTGGGACGCTGACCCAGGGGGCCCAGGCAGGCGTCTTGGCTGAGCAAGTGAGCGTGAATTCACTGGTGGGAGAGGGGAGGGCTGGGGAGGTCCACATGGAGGAAGCCACTCAGCAGAGGCTGGGGGTGGGGTGGGATACGGTGTGGGCAGCCAGTAGGTGCACCCCTACCTGGGGTCTGGTGCTCTTGATTCTCTCAGGCCACCCTCCTGGAGACCCTGTTCCCAACCTCGGGGTCAGGAGTGTGGCAGCATGAGCTGTCCCTGCCCGCCTTCTCTCTGTGTGTCCCGGATACCTGATGACTCTGCAGCCAGATCGTGTGCCTGGCCGGTGCCTGGTGCCATGCTGGGGCCGTGATGCAGCGGCTCCTACAGAGCTGGTGCTGTACGGTGTTGTGTTGTTTTCATTAGCCCACTGGGTCAGGACAGCTGAGAGGGGGCCGGGCATTTCCGAGAGAGGGGCGAGCCCCTGCCTTTGACCCACTGCCTCCTGCTCTGCCCCCCAGTGCCACCCTCTATCCTCACCCTGGAGCTGCTCCAGCCCCCTTGACTCCATCTCCTGGGGGCATGGGGGCGTGAGCTGTGGACATTCCACTCCCTGCTCAGCCCCTCACTAGCTGGGTGGCTTTGAGCTGCCTGGGAACCTCTGTGAGCCTCAGTTTCCCCATCCGTAAGATGGAAATAATAACCACCTCGAAGGTTCGTGAGGAATAAGTGAGGCTGGTTGCGGGAAACACCAGCTGTTCCTAAGTATGCACTTCACATTCACTTCTGCTCCCGCCTCCTGTCTGGTTTGGATGCTTCCAGTATGACGGGGCCAGAGGGGCCGAGACTATGTGCCCAGGGCCTCGGACTCCGGACTCCAGGGCTGGGCCTGGATCACTGGGGCAGCATCTCACCATCGCCAGGCGTGAATAAGCATCGCTGGGAAGTCCCCTGAGTGGGGCCACGTTCACGGCACATGAGGCCCTGCAGAGCGTTGATCACCAGCCGTCCTCAGAGGCCTCCGTTCCAGCCCCTTAATTTGACAGATGGGGACAGTGAGGGGCGGGCTTGCCCAAGGTTGCACAGTGAGGCTCTGGCGGCTTCCTGACTCCCTGTCCAGTGCTCTCGCCGCTGCTCCCGGCTTCTTTCCCTCCCTCCCCGGGCTCCATTTACTTAAGTTCCAGCTGCTTCCCTGGGTGATTCCTCTGGGAGAGAATCAGTCCAGATCACTTTCCTTCTCCTTGTTTTCGAAGAGAAAGGAAAAAAAAAAAATCTTGATTTTCTTTTTCTTTTCTTTAACTTCCCCAAAGGTAGTCACTAAGCAAACACTGCTTTGCAAAAGGCAATCTCCAAGAGGAGGACGTTTCACCTCTTGTCACTGCATTTCCTCCACGGCTCCTGCCCTGAGGTTTGGAAACGGCCCTGGGCTGTCCTGGCTGCCCACCTGGCCTCCAGGGAAGCGGGCTCGGGTCACAGGCACAGTTAGAACAACAGCCCACATCCGGGCCGGGCTGCCTGCCGCCTCCAAGTGACCTCCCTCCCAACAGGCTCATCTTTGCCTCCAAGTGACCTCCCTCCCATCAGGCTCATCTTCGGCGGTGGCGGGAGGGGAGGGGGCAGGGCCAGGCCTCATCCCCACTTCCCAGCGCCCCAGGCAGGAGCGAGGTGGGGAAAGTGAGGGCTGGAGTCCGAGTCTTCCAGGGCCTCCGGGCTCGGTCCCTGAGCCACACAGAGCTGGCTCCAAGTCTCGCTCTGCTCCTCACTAGCTGTGCGTCACTGGGCAAGCTTCTTCCCGTCCCCAGCCTCACTTTCTTAATCAGTAAAATGGGGATAACAGATTTGCTTTCTTGCCCGGCTCTGTGAGGTGTACATAGGTTAATGTTTACGCAATGCTTAGTCCGGCCGGCGCGTTCTGGCTGCTCCAAACCTATTTGCTGTTGTTTTTCTGGGCCCTGGTTTAGATTCGTTTTAGAGGGAGCTGGTTGGGCGGGCAGACAGACAGACAGACCTGGGTGGGATGCGGCTCTCCCTGACCCGCTACCCCACCTCTCCGAGTCTGCACAGGAAGCGAATCCCATCTGCTGGGGGTGGTAGAGAGGCTGACCGAGGCTGACCAGGGGACCTCGGCAGGGGCATTGGGCCCACCTGTGGCTGTGAGCCCTGTGGACTTCCCAGTCCCTTCGCCTGCTTGGCTGAGTTGCCCAGAGGAGGCAGCCAGGCTGCTGCGGGGTGAACAGAGCTGCTGGCAGTTGCTGGGGGCGTGTGGTGCTGAGGCCGGTGGGGGGGTGGTGTGGGCAGTTTTAGGGTTGGGCCGCCCCGCTCAGCAATCCCAAGGAGTGAGGGTGGCTGGGATGTCGTCTGTCCTGCTGCTGGGCACAACCAACCTTCCAAGTGCTCAGCCTCCAGGTGGCACTTTCCCTTTCCTCAGTGGGAACATTGGTTACCAGATAACAATAACAATGGCAAACAATAATAGTAAGAAGAATGACCTTGCTTCTGGGTACCAGACACCGAGCTACATGCCCAGTCCCATTTGCTCCTCCTGTCTCTAGGATGTAGGTACTGCCATCACCCACATTACAGGAGGGGAAATTGAGCCTCAGGGAAGTTGAGGGGGGCCACGGTTCCATATAGATAGTACCTGATCATTCAGAACAGAGACCAGAACCAGGGCCTCGCCGACCGGAGGCCAGGCGTCTGACCACTACGCTACCCTCCAGGGACACGCTGCGGACTGCAGGGCCAAGCCCAGGCTTTGGCTCACGGGGGAGGGTGTGGCCGGCTCACAGGAATAATCCGACTGTGTGTGTGTTTATTGGGGTAAGCATTCTGCCTGCTAGGAGACGCTCTCTGAGCTCTTGGTGGAATGTTCCACAGACCCCACCTGGGGAGCCAGAGTGGCTTCACTCTGCCTGTGTGTGATCTGGGTGAGGCCCCTTCCCTTGAAATGGGAGCAGCCCCCTAGGAGATGGGGACTGTTGATTATGCTCGTTTTGCAGATGAGGAACTGAGGCTTAGGGAGTTGAGGTACTTTACCTGAGATCTCGTGGAGCTGGTCAATGGCAGGGCTGGAGCTCGGCTGTCTGGCCCCACAGCCATCTGGCGGAGCCGGCAGGGTTGGCCTTTCCCGGTGGACTTTGCAGCCCGCACACTTACAGCCTCCCCGCGCTCTCGCTGGGGGAGTCGTGCCTAAAGAGCAGTCCTGAGTGCCCCGTGCTCGCAGGGAACAAGGGCGTGCGCGTCACCGGCTCCCCGTGTTTTCCCTGGACTCAGGCTGTGCCTCTCAGCTCTCTGCACTGGCCGTGGACTCCGGCGCCCTCTGGAATTGTTTGTTTTTGCTGCCCAGTTCTGTTGCCATCCCAGAGGGTCCCCCACGGTCTCAGCATTCCTGGTGGGTCAGGCCTTTGGCTCCTGGCCCTGCTGTGGGTACTCTCAGAGGCTCCCTGGAGAAACCAGTCTTCCTCCTTCCTGGCCTTGTCCAGACATGATGGACTGTGCTGTCCACTGGCCAGCGTCTCGCACCTGGGCCTGGATCCTGAGGGAAGCACTTGGTAGCTGGACTCCTGGAAGGGCCAAGGACACCCATCGTCCCTGGACGTCCCAGGTGCTGAGAGGATCAGGCCAAGAGGAGGCCAGGCCCAGGGAGGCAGCATTTGAACAGGGTGGAAACAGGGCACCAGAGGGCCTGCCTGCAACCTGGCCGTGTCCTTGTGTCTTCTGAGGCTGATGGGCATGGGGAGCGTGGGGGCTCTTGGGAGGGGCAGCTCGACAAGGCTGGGGGAGCTCCCCGCCCCGGAGGGAGATCTCCCTGGGGAGTCGGTCATGGAGTTATGGCTCAAGGCTTTGCAGACCACTGCAGACCCAGTCCGGGTTGTGTGGAATCCAGGGCTTGTCCTAAACTGGCCGTTCCCGCCATCTGAAGCATTTATAGCCTCCTGGGTCCTGTCCTGCAGGGTCTGAGTGGGACCCGAGGCCTGGCAGAGATCAGCTCCCCCAGTGGAGTCCCGTATGGGAGGGACATGGAGACAGGCCTCTTTTTCCATTAAAGACCTGTCTCTGGCCCCTTGCCAGTCCCTCACTTGGAAAAGCTGTATTTTGTTTTTGTTTTTCTCTTTTCCACCCCTGATTTCAGGTGGTTTCCATGTCAGAGCTGTGAGCTTTGGCTCACAGACCCTTTGCGTACCCGGTATAAAAGCCACACGGTCTCTCCCCTGAGAAAGGTACCCGTGCCCCTTCGCTGCATCGAGTACCCCTTTCAGGAATCCCGTGACGTCCCTCCCTGCGTCCTGCAGGCATAGGACTTGGCCTTACTCATCTCTCATCTGTGGTGCCTGGCGCAGGAAGGCGCGATGCTGATAGTTCATATGTGCACGGACTTTACAGTTTATGCAGCTCTTTCCATACACATCTTGATTCTCGCAACTGTGGTGGGCAGAATAACGCACCCTCCCCCAAAGGTTACCGTTTCCTAATGCCCAGAACCTGTGAGCACGCTACCTTATATGGCGAAGGGCCTTTGCAGATGGGATTAAGTTAAGGATCTTGAGATGGGGAGATTGTCCTGGATGATCTGGGGGCTCCGGTGGAATCACAAGGGTTCTTGTAAGAGGGAGGCCGGAGGGTCAGAGTCAGAGAGATTGAAAGATGTCACACTGCTGGCTTTGAAGGTGGAGGAGGGGGCCATGAGCCAAGGGATGCAGGCTGCTTTCAGAGGCTGGGAAAAGACAAGGGGACGGACCCTCCTCTTCAGCCCCCAGAAGGAGCACAGCACTGTCTTCTACGCCTTGCTTTTAGCCTAGTCAGACCCATCTTGGACTTTTGACCTCTACAGCTGTAAGGTAATGTATTTGTGTTGTTTTTAGTCACTAAGTTTGTGGCAGTTTGTCCCAGCAGCAGTAAGAGACTAATAAAACAGCCCTGGAAAGAGGGAATTGCTTTGGGTCACATTCTGCAGACCCAGAGAGGTGCAATCACTGGTCCGAGGGGGCTGGGATGGCAGGCAGGGGCGCTTGGGCTCAAAGCCAGAGGGCAGGGGCTCTGGTTATCTTCCTCTGCAGTCCCCTGCCTACCCAGGACAGTGCTGGGGCCCACCCTTGGCTAGTATTCTGCCAGCTGGCTGGGACTCCCCCTGCCCTTTGCCTCCGTCCTCCATCCTTCCATCCTACACATCTTTACTGAGCGCCTCCAACATGCCAGGCACTCCAGAGCCCCAGGCAGACAGCTCCCGTCCTCGGGGGCTGACATTCCGGGTCAGATTGTACTATTTGATGTGGCTGGCTGTGTGTACGGGCTCCATAGCCACATAGTAATACATGTATTCAGCACTTATTATTCACCAGGCCCTGTTCCAAGGGCTTCACCTGCCCCATCTCATTAATCCTCACGACACTCTTACAGGTGGGCACTGTTGTAATCCCCACGTTACAGATGTGGAATTGGGCACAGAGAGGACGCATCTTCAGCCTAAGATCACAGAGCTGAGATGAGGCAGAACCAGAGTGAAACCCAGTTGGCTTCCAGAACCAGTGTTCAAACCCCCTGTGCTCCCGTCTCCCGCGTGGATCTGGCTTGGATCTGCCCCATCTGTACCTTAGCTCCCTGACCAGGACCCGCCCACGGCTGCATCTGCCTCACCCTCCGTTTCTTCTCTAGAACGGGAAATCAGATGTAAGGATCAGATGTCCGTCAGTGAGCTGCTCTTTGTCACTGCCCCCAAAGGGTGCGGCCTGTCTGGGGCAGACTGCGGGGCACGAGGGCCCCCCACTGGTGGGGGCATTGCTTAATGTTTCCTGAGATGTGTTTTTCTCTCTTTCTTTTTCTTAGTCATATAGGTTTATTGTAGAAAAATTGGAAAGTACGGAAAATGATGGACTAAAAGCAAGCTCTCTTTCTGCGCTGTGTGTTTCTGTCCAGCTCCTTTGCTGTGCACGTGTACGAGTGTACATAGGTTTTTATAGAACAGTGGTTTTATTGCACATGCTGTTTCGCGGCTCGCTTTTTGACCTCATTCTCCATTGTGAGTATTTTCCCACGGGAACCTGTGTTCTACGACACCCCGCATGGCTCTTGATATGTTGTTTCTGGGGATGCAGTGCCTGTCCGTGGTCTGACTGCCGAGCCTGGGCCCTCGAGATGTCAGCAGGGGAGGTGGCGAGCCCAGAGCAGAAGGCCGGATGGGGTCTGGGTGGGCATCTATGGCTATGGGGCCAGGCTCTTGTGTTGAGATGGTGAGGGCCTTGGTGCTCACTCCCCTTTGGGAGGACTGTGTTGTGGGTACCAAGTCAGGGACCTCTCCTCCCCTGGGGCTCCTCACCCCTCTAGCCATCCAGTAAGTGGATTTGTGACCATGCGTGGGGTGGCATAGGACAAACAGACTGGCTCCCCAAACCCTTCTGTATGTGAGCGATGGCCGGGCTGCAGTGGGAAGAGGTGAATGCATGCAGGTGGGAGGGACCCTGTAACTGGGGAGGGGGAAAGAGGTACCCACCAGGAGGATTTATCGTATGCTCAGACCCTGTGCCTTCTGTATTTACTCCTTACTAGAACCCTAAGAGCGAGGTACTGTTGCCCCATTTCACAGATATGGGAACTGAGGCAAAGAGAGGCGCTAAGTGCCTTACCTGCCTTATCTCATCGTATCTTTGCAACAGGAAGTAGAAACGATTATTCACCCCGTTCCACAGCAGCTCTGGGACATTGAGTGACTGTCCTGGTACCCAGAGCCGGGTGGCAGAGCTGTGGTTTTATCCCAGGTCTGTTGGCTCCAGAGTGTCTGCTTCTTGACGTGTCAAATTGGGCAGCAGGCTCCATCTGGGCTTAAAGTTTTTGCTTCTTCTGTGTCTCTTGGATTTAGGGGTGGTGGGGGGTGATGCTCTGAGTAGGGCCACCCTGGGCAAGCCCTGCTGCCATGGCCCTCTGTACGCTACAGATTGGGTTCGACTCAGGCCTTATAAGGCAAATGTTGTTCTGGTCCTTTCTAGTCCTCAAAGGTGGAGTTCTTTCTCCTTTATATTTTTCATGCCTCGTCCTGGAAAAGGTCCCCGGAATGCCTCGTGTGTGCACGTGTGGGCCCCGCTGGCTGGGAGTCCTCAGACTGTTCCGGTTTTGGGGGTCTTCTCCCTGACTATTGTGTAGCTTCTGGGAAGGGACCCTGTGGCATCTGCTGTCCACGGAGACTCGCTGAGAAACAGGCCTGTCCCAGCAGCGGCAGGCCGGGCACTGCCATTCTCCAGAGTGGAGCATTGGTCGTCACTGAGTGTCCACTGTGTGCTGGGGCTGACGGAATGGGGCCACCCGGACAGAGCAGGTCCCTGTTGTCCCAGGGTACTCTCTCTCCCCTCGTCCCTGGCCGCTTGTCTCTAGAGAGGAGGTGGGCGCAGAGGGTGCCCTGAGTCTGGTCGCGAACACTGTCGCTGAGCTGGGGGGCCTGGGAGAGATCCTTCCATCTGTCTCCTGCGTCCTCTTTATCGCGGAGCTCCTCCTTCTCTGCTCCCCTCCATAGACTCGGCTCCTTTCCTTTGCATCTAGGTGGCAGTGGCCTCACCTTCTAAGTCTGGTGTCATCCTAGTTCTCTGGCCTTTCCTCTGTAAGCTGAGAGGCATTACAAGTGCAGGAAGCTCAGATAAGAATGCGATAATGGGCCTCCTACTGCTTTTTATGGCTCTTTTCTTACCTGGAACCTTTGAGGAGGCCTGGCAAGGAAGGAGCGTTGGCTCACAAGGAGAATTACACTCTCCAGCCAGGCAGCAGCTGGGAGAGGCTGCCCCCCGGGTGGGTCGTGGCCTTGGGCAGTGGGAAGGGGCTGGGAGCAGGAGGGGCGCCGCCAGCCTCATCTCTTGCCCTGTGCTCCTCTTCCCTTGCCTGGGAGGCCTGCTCTCCATCGCGGTCGCGTCTGCTTGGGGACACCTGCTCCAGTCGGGGGCAGGAAGTTCAGGTCGTTCTTGGCAGCAGTGGCCGCCTGGGACGGTTGAAGGCCTCTGCCCTCGGATTGGCAGACGTGGCCTTTTTTTGAGCCTGGGCTTTAAAAAGAACAAAGAAAAGACTTTCACCTGGAATAGTTTCAGATTTGCAGAACAGTTGTAAAGGTAGTCCATTTGCCCCCGTCCCCCGCCCTGCCTGTGGTTAACACCTTACACAGCCACGGACGGCACATTCGTCAGAACTGGGAATACCAATCGCCCAACGCCACACTTTGTGCAGATTCACTGGGTTTTCTACTTGTGTCCTTTTTCTGTCCCGGGACCCCATCCAGGATCCTGCATTTAGTTGTCATTTCGCCTGCCCTGCTCTGTGACTCTCTCAGTCCTTCCTGGTTTCCACGATCTCGCGAGCCTTGGGGAGCAACGGGCAAGTATTTTGTAGAATGTCCCCCGATCCGGGCTTACCTGGCGTTTTTCTCGTGACTAGACCGGGGTTACGTCTCTCAGGGGTGCACGATGTCCCCGTGATATCACTGGAGGTGTTCACTTGACGGCCAGGTTAAGTGGTGTCTGCTGTTCCCCAGCTGTCTCCCTTCTCTGCGTCCCGCCCGTCCTCCAGGGTGTGTGCGATTAAGCTCTGCCTTCCTCGCAGGATCTTGTGAAGCTTGGCAAG